TTTCTTCTACTCTTTTCTTGCCGTGATACATTCTTTATTTGCTAAATTTCTTTATACAAGTTTTTTTTTTGCAACATTCCCTGAATATTTCCTAATATTTCATAATTTTTTACTTTTGCTTTGTGTTTTTTTTACATTTTTTTATCTTATGAACTTGCTAATATTTTTTGTGTGTGCTTTGATTGAAGTTATGTAAAGTTAATGCGCCCAGGCATCAGGCATTTGTCAGTGGGGATTGGGGAATGCTGGTAGCCGTGACTTTTGTTCAGCTTTTTGTCTGTTACCATCATCGTGTCGCATCATGGTGGATCCACCATCGTCATCGAATCACTTTCACTATCGTTGGTGGGACCCCTCGGGGCTGCTACCCTGATGATTATGATGATGGTTGTATGTGTTGTTTTCAGTTTTTGCTATGTTGATATCATCATTGAATGAATGGATGAATGAACGAACGAATAAGTACAATAAATGTTTATTTTTGTTTGGATTTGTTCGTATTTGGGGTACCGTACCGTACCTCCTTTCGCCTATTTTGGATGACAATGCTGTATATTTTATCGAGAATGAAAAGGAAAGGAAGAGAAGGAATGCAACGGAATTCAATTATTTTCATCCAATTTCGGATATCTGGGTATCATCGTAATCCACGAAAATTCCCCGAGCTATGCCACAAATAAAAAACAAATAGAAACAGAACAGAATTTACTTTACACAGCAGTACTGCAGTTGCATATGCAATATATTTTTAGCAACGATTGGTTCAATATTTGTTGAACAATATGCGAACAATAATTTCAGATGGATGGGAAAAGGAGTGCAATATACTCTCTGTTTTCGCTTGTTGTCTGTTATCTGAAATGTCTGTAAATGAAAAGCATTCGCAATTAAGTCTGAATATTCATTCACGTGGCATATCAGTCCATCAGATATGGCTCCTCTGCCTGTTTAGGTTCCGTTCCCCTTTCGCTATCAATTAAACCTGTCTGCTATCGAAAGTATTTTGGTTTCGTGGAATTCCGAATAATTGAAGCAGTCAGTACCCCCTGATTGATATGACACCTATATCAGTTTTAAGTGGATTGATAAGCGCCGAAATATTAATAATTTTTTGGGCTTTGGTAATGTTTTCAAAGAATAGACTTTGAAGGTTTCTACTGAATATCCTGATTAGCATAGACATACATACATAGAACCCGAGCTATGGATAGGATGTTTACTGCTCTGATCTATGGATATAACTTAATCTTTTGGCGGTGTTTTTATGGCATGTTTCCTTTCAGAAACCGATCTTAATCGCTTGTCAAACGCGACATCGATTCACTCCCCTGCCATACGATCCGAATGCGAGTCTGAGTCGGAGTCGGAGTACCAGTGTGTTGCAATTCACGCTCTCCTCAAAGCGTGTTTAGATACGAGTACGACGAGTACGAGTATTAACAGCAGACGCCAGTTCCAGCTCCAGCTCCAGCTCTAGCTAAGACTCTGCTCTGTGCTGTGTGCTGTTTACTGTGGGTAGAGATACGCAAAGTATCTCTGGCTTGTTGGCAACAGCCAACCCACAACCCACACACAGAGCTATGCTAAAGATACAGATACAAATACAGGGAGAGTGCAGCAACTACTCTTCGAGGCCATCGTCGTGCTTGGTATCGCCTGCAACTTTTACAATCAGAGCTAATTAGCAAATTCATGCTAATTTCGAGTTGTAACAAATAAAATTACAACGCGTCGCACGTGTCGCTTTATGTAATTAGTTGCAGCATGTTGGCAGAAGTTTATGCTCTCTTTCTCCCATCGACAGTGAAAGAGAGATAAAGATAAGCACTCGGAGGAGTGCCAGTTACCATTGCCTGTCCTTGCCTCCTCGTTACGAGTGATAAAACAAAAGTTATGTCCCATGGGAACTCTTTGAGAATGCTGGAACCACTGGGAAATTCGCATAATTCATAATGAAGATGTTGTAAAGAGTGATCGCTCCAGACAGGGTGGATGCATGGATGGATGGATGGATGGTAGGGCTCCAGTCTAGGGCTCGTTTATCATAATGCAAAAAAGGGGATCCAGCCATCCACTGGGGCAGCCCTGTGCATAATTACAAGTTGTATGCTTCAGTCCAGTCTCCTCCTATCCTGTACGGATTCTATGGATGGATGGATGGGAGATGACCACGGGACACGATCTGTGGCCAGTGTGTGCATTGCTCGTGTCACGGGTACATATCTATTAGCTTTTAGCTGGGACAAGCAGCTACTGAAAGGTTGGACTTTCGAAGCCTAAAATCGATTTCAGTTATTGATTGTAATGACTCCTTGGGCCCCATCCTTCATGGCTGCCTTGCATCTATCCAGTCCAGTGTACCTCTGCCCCTCTCTCTGATTCCCTTGCAGTCATTTGTATCTGCTGCATCTCTCAGCCAGAAACGGCCTGGGTTTCTGGCCTATCTTTCGGCCTGGTTTCCTCCCCATTCGGTTGTGTGATTAATTTTTGTGTCGAGTCAGGTTTGGGGGCTGCCCCACTGCTAGCTCAGCTGGCTCTGCTGCCTTTTGTGATTTGAAAAATTAGTGCAAACTGCAAATGATCATAAATCAAACAGTTTTGTTGATTGCATTCGAAGTGCCCACAAATTGCATGATTTTGCAATTTCTGGACTCGCTACGAGGCAGTGGCAGTGGCAGGGTCCTCTCTCCTGCCCCTGCAGCTGGAACGTTGCAGTTTTTGCATTCCCCGGATGCTGCTGACACACGACGACAGTCGACAGACAACGGACAACAGACATCGGACATCGGACATCGATTCCTTGTCCTTTGTGCAACACGACAGAAGATATTCCGCCTCTTGGTAGTTCCGCAAATAACTTGAATTTTTCTTACGCGAAAACAACTGGCACGAAGCAAAACAAAAACGAAAACGACAACGAAACGAAACGATTGCCTGGCATTTTTACGAGTATCTCCTTTTCATTCCTGGCTGAAATTTTATTGTATTGTAATTAAATTGCAAAGGAACACAAAGGAAAATCAAGGGGAAAGGCGCGTTTCGCTATCTAAGTCAGAGTTGCCGCCTGAAAGCCCAGCTCTGGGCCAGTGATGACGACTTGGCTATGGATGATAACTGGTTTCCCCGCTATGTAAATGAAGTGTCTACTACTTTGGTTAATACGCGTACTAGCACGAGTGGAGAGAAAAAGAGGGGCAAGCATCGCGTGTGCGACCTTCGCTCATCGATGATTATGATGATGATGGACAGAGAGAACACAAAAAACCATATAAACATTGAACAATTGCACACATAATGAAACCCAACTCAACCTCAGCCTCAACCTGAGACTGAGTCTGAGCATCGAACGAAGATAACTCCATGACGTAACCCACTCTCGAGGCGACTACTCTCCACTCTCGACTCTCCAGTGACCAATCGTCAAGAGCGTTTCGATCATTAGCAAATAATTTACGCCATTAGTTTGAGGGCAAACAAACGTGGCAGAACCTTTAGGCCGAAATGGGGGATCGTTCTGGTAATCGGCTTAAAGTTTATGGAAGAGCATTTACTTTAATGAACTCCCATCGATGCCTGGCCCCTGGCTGGGCGGGTGGTCTCTGGTCCATGTTCTCTATGGTCTGTAAGTAGCTCAAAGTAGATCTCTGCCGCTACTGTGTTTTGTTTCCCTCTCTCTCTCTCGTTTGATTTGCGCTATCGGGTTTTGCATACATTGTTGCCGTTGCAGTTTGGAGAGCACATTGGGAGCATCGCTAATTAGTGTTGCCATTTCAATTAGTCCCCGGAGGTGTGTGGCCCAGATGGGTGTCACATAGAGAGGCAACACCCGTGCTACATCATGCGATTGGAGGTCTTTGATAGTATGTCCGACACTACCTGTCCTCGTGGTACCTTGAAGTATCGTTGCATATCGCCAGCCAACACCAACACCAACACCTAACCGGTTCCCATCAGAGCGTGCTGTTTGGGGGGACCAGAGGGCAGCCGACAGCCGGCAGCTGAGGAAAATGGCAAAATGTAGGAAAAATATGCGATAATACCAGTATGTGGGCGTTTGAATTGAACCCAAGAGAAAGCGAGGAGCCAGCAAAGTGCCAAAGGGAGAGAATGACTCCCCCCAATGGGACACTAAACCATATTGATTGGCTCTGTGTCTGTGTTGCTTTTGGTGACCCACAAAATGTTTTTCCCAACGTTGAGGAATCTTGTAAGTGGTGGGGAAAACCATGGGAAGGAGTCTGCCAATACTTTTATGGGTAGATTAGCGTAGAGAGAGGAGGGAGGATACGGAGCTATAGCATGCTGAAGGGTGCGGTAACTGCAAATTGGTCACTTCGACATGTTAATTATTTTGAAGCGGAATGCTGAAGGAATCTGCCAGAGCTTTTACTTGGCAAAACAGAGTTGATTAGCGTTGAAAGTGGGAGAAGAATGTTTAAGGATGCCCTTTTGAGGTGCACTAGCGCTGTGGGGAAAGGAAAGCACCAAAATATTGTTGTTAAGTGTGTAAATAAAAAGTGTAAAATGTTAGGCATAACCGAACAACACCTTCGCTGTTGAAACAATAAACAACGGGATAGGCCGGACAGACACTCCCACACATAATAAAATAAAATTAAACTATAAGCCATAAACTATTAATAATCGCAATTAAATGATGTGATAACCCATTCCAAGCCTCTTTCAAAGTTTGCTTTAATTTGAAATAAAACATAAATTCCATATCATATTTTGCATAATTGCCAAATCCCCAAAAAGCATAACTGAGAATGAGAAAGTTTTCCCTTGGTTGCTATGGGAAGTTTTCCATGTGGCATTTCCCAAGCGGAAATGCGGCAGAGCCATATGGAGCAAGTGCCATAAATTTGTATGCCGCTTACAGAAATAATTAAGTGCATGAATATATTATTTATAAATATTCCATTATCTATTTGCTATCTGTTGATATAACTTATCGCTTGGACTAACATTTGCCCTCCATTCTCCATTTTCCATTGCAGCTTTCGGTCACGCTTCGCTTTGCGGGGTTTCCTTTGAAGGAAACTCGGAAAGACTATAAAAATCCATGTGGAGGTGAGTCCAAAGTCCCCCCGTTTCCCTGCCCCTAAAACAAAACGAAACAAACAAATTTTCAATGTCAATTTGTAGTCGGAATTTATGAGTTCCATTGTTTTGTCTTTTAGTGCTCTGCTCTTTTTGTTGTTGTTGTGTCCGGCCAAATATGGCCAGCAATTTCACTGAACCAGGCCCCGAACCGGGGACTACTTTTGCACTGCTACTTGCAGCCAAACCAACTGCTTGCTGCGTACAAACACAGGTCCAAAATGATGGGGTTTTCATTGTCTCCTCTTTGGGATACCCTTTCAGAGGGTATTCCTGATTTCGGTGAGGAAACGAAAGCCACAAAAAGTATCTGAATTAGCCGTTCTTGTCCTATAAAAACTATTCCTACTTATCCTTATAATTTCTGCACCTACCATCTAATATTATAAGGGCCTTTCCTCATGATCTTTGAAAATCCAATCAATCAATAGTATAGATTCATCTTCCAGGGTATCTAAACCCTCGTAGCCACAAAGCTGGCAATTGTTTTTCTGTTGTTTTTCTTTTCGGCTTGTGGACATTTGTTCGTTGTTGTCGCGTCGCGTCGCTCTTGGCCTCGTTATTGTGCCAAATGGCCATAAAAGGTTAATTGGGTCCTTAGCAACTGTTGGGCTGCAACAAATAATGCAAACATTCCACGGACTTGGACTTGGACTGGGGACTTGGGACTTGGGTGCCCTCCTCTTCCTTCAGCAAGAAGAGAGACATGCGACATAGAAAAATCTTAATTAGTTAATTAAAACAACAAACAAACTGCAGTCCAGGTCCCAAGACGCTCTTGCCACAGAACTCTTGCCCCTAAAAGAACAGGTTCTCTACTGCAGCAGGGTTCGCCTCTATGTTTTAGCCAAGGTAAAGTCTGTGCTGCGTTGTGTCTGTGTCCTGCAAGTAGTTCACTTGGGCTACTGCATAATTCATTCGGTTTTAATGACAACACGAGGATGGAGGCGTGGATGTTGGCTGTTGGCTGGTAGCTGGTAGCTGTTGGAGCATGGAGGATGATAGTGATAGAGACGCGTTGTCTGGCCGCTGCACACCCATACCATAGATCTCTCTCCCTTTCTCTCTTTGTAGTTCCCCTTTTGTGGTTTTTTGTGTTTGGTGTGTCCCTTTGGTCTGAGACTCTTTCAAATCCCTCGAGGTGGCATTAAACTATGAAAGGCATTTAGTTTAGCGATTTATATATATAGGCGACCTTTTGACAGTTTTATGTCCAGGTTGTTTCCCCCAACGATAACGAGCACAAATGTAGCCTGCTCTTCCTTTGCTTTTCCTTCATTAAATGGAGCGGCAAATGTATCTGTATCTGTGTATCTGCACTCGTACGGATGTATTTCTCTTCGTTATCCTTTGGCATCATCGATGCAATTGCCTGGCAGGGATTTATTTGCTTTTAAGCAGTTTGTAATTGCCAATATATCTGACGGGACATGGAATGGAATGGAATGGAATGGAAGGGCAGACAAGAGACAGGGCCCCAGAGTCGGCTGGGGAATCGGAATTGAATTCCTTCTTAACGAGAGAACCAAATTAATTCCACACAGACCTTGGGGCACATTCGGTATTCGGTGTTGGAGAGTGACACATTTTAAAGGCTCTTAAATTACTTCCATCGAATATCATTTATGATACTTTGCAGCATTTCACCGTTTTCCCCTTCACTTGACCTTTTCCTGGGCCCCATACAGGCTCGTACAAATTGCTCGAAAAAGGGTCCCAAATTACATTTTCTATAGTCCAGCCAAAGGCTTTTCTTCCACTTGCACGCTTTCGGCAACCACAAGCTGGCCCACAAATGGGGGCCCAAATCTGCTGAGGGACGCAACTTCCCCCTCAAATAATGGGAACATGTTCCGAGCCCCCATATAAAGAAATGACCAACAACCATTATATAGTAGATATTAGATGGGACCACGTCGAACCGCATGGACGGGCAGAGAGAAAATGAAACCATTTTTGCCATTTGACAGGCAATTTTCAAGCGTAACATTTTCGATATTTTCTGGCCTTCGACTCTAACCCCCCTCTAACCTCCCTGGTTTTTTCCGCCACAACCCAACCGAATTATCTTCCCCGGAAAACGGGCGAGAAATAAAATATGTCCTGTCCTGTCCGGCTGGTGACCCACAACAAAAAAAAAGTAGAAGAAAAAGGAAAAAATGTATATAAAATCTAACGATGATAGTTTATACGGCTAAAAGCAATTTTTCCGCTCGTACACTCCCCGTCCCCCGCAGGACATGTTTCTGCCCTGGAATATTTAATCGAGCTGCCTGCCACATTGAAATATATTGAGTGCATTACGAAATCCAGCCGCTGGCTCCACACATCTCTCATGCCCATCTCAGTTCTATCATTTGATTAAATCTAAAACTGTTTACGAGCCCACAGCACTCGCGCAGCCTGTTTTTCTTTATGCATTCCAATGGAAAGTAATAAATTAATTTTTCCATCTATCTCTCTATTTTGTTTGCTTTTGTAAAACCTGAACAAACAAAATTAACGCTGATAACTTTTGTGTGCGGCTAAATCTTTTAGACTAGTTTCGCAAACAGTTTTGTGGCAGTTCTGATTGTCGGGGTAAAACTAAAAGGGGAATTGGGCACTGAGGTTCGGCTTGTAATACATGTCAGAGGAGGAGGAATACTCTTAAATGCGCTGGAAATTTCATTTGTGGGAGAATGAATGTACAAGCAAATAGTTTGGTATTTGTTTGCTCCGAATAACTACGAATGTTTACCAATAAAAAAGATAACCAACCACCATGTTCATTAGCATTTACAACAGAGCTACTACCTGCTATCTATCTTTTTCACACAGATACGTATCTAGTATCTGTGATGTACCTTGGTGATACAAATATAAATAAAATGATGTTGATATATGTACACCTCCTCTATGTTATTATTTGGTATAATTTCAGGTCTTACTTCTGTATTTCTGTAACATACATTTAGTGTTTCCTCTTACTTATCTTCTGTAGGAATGGGTAGCCCACAAGTCGACTCCTTTACCCCGTGTAGTGTGTGAAAGGCGAAAACCTTTAAAAATATTTCGCACAGTTTGTTGGAAATTAGTTTCTTATTCAATTTGGCCCCAAAAGTGGATGGGCAAACGGCCAAACAGGGCCAACAGTCTGGTATTGAAAAAAGGCGGCCAAAATGCATTTCCCGATGCAGAGGAAGAGGAAAAACAGCGAAACGGAACTCAAACAAAAAACCCAAAAGTCGAAAATCAGCGGGGAAAATACACGAAAAATAAAACGTGAAAAATCGTGAAGAAGGCTCTAGTCTGGCGATGGAGGGTCCCCACTTCAACCGCATACCCATCCCAGCCGATCGAATCCAATCCGGTCCGGTTCCGACCAGTCAAGTTGAAAAATGGCCAGCAATGGAAATGGAAATGGCCCTGACTCTGACTGTGGAAAAGAGTCAAACAAATAACTATTGAGGTCGGATAAGAGTGGGGAAAGCCCCGTTCCCGCAGGTGGAAAATGCTTGCATATGCAAATGAACAATTTATTTCCCTGCGGCTCATTTGAAGTTTATTCGCTTCGATTTTTACCCTACCTTCGGGTATTTCTTTCTGTCTCTCGAAACTAGTTTGACCCTCAAATTAGTTTGCGGTTCCTGCTTTGCTTTTGGCCAGGGCATTAGCCACCGGCAGAGGCCTGACCTTGTTTCCATACGCTAGCCCACACAAAACCAAGTGCAAGGTCAGCGGAGTAAGAGAGAGAAAGAGAGAGAGAGAAAGCGGAGAGGGTGGGAATGGAGAGCTAGAGAAACGGAGCCCCCAAAAAGTAGAAGCAGAATCTCTAGGGAATTCAGATTACGATTCATCTGAATTTTTGTGGATTTTCTGCTGCTTTTTTGTTTGTTTTTTGGGCTGGGCCAACGAGTTTGGCCAGTTTCTTGGGACAGTTTGCGGAGTGAATTAGCCAACAAAAATCTTGGCCAAGTTTTTGACAAGTTTGTTGGCCACAAAGGAAACGATTTGTGGCTGCCAGTCATCATAGATTATCATCTAAAAAGAGCAAAAAAAAAAGAAGGGGAATTAGACTACAGATTTGATTTGATTTCTGGTTTAGTGGATGGCAAGTCTTAATGATCGCATGGCATGGGCGCTGCTCTGTGCTCGGTTCATTCAACCGAACTTTTCTCATCATTTTGATGGCTTTCCATTCCATTCTAATTACCCACCTGTCATCTTCTGGGGCTCTCCTCTGATCCTTCAGATCCTGTTTTGAAGCAGAAAGAGATGTCTGGAAAAGCCATTTAATTACATTTTCCTTGTGCCTCGTGCTTCGTGTCTGGGAAAGAGGGAAAATCATTTCTGATGCTGCCCGGCTTTTTGTCAAATTGAAAGCCATAAAAAATGCGTGGCATGCTTCCAATTGTCGGCCGCTTGGATGGGGCAGGCAGGCCAGGCAGATGCCGTGCAGTTGAACGTCTGATGATGCTGCTGCCTGCCTGGTAGTAAATGCTGAGGATCCGATGGGAAACTGGTCTTTGGACGTGGACTGGTTCGGTGGATGGCAAATTAACAGTTAAGCGCCAACGGTAAATAATTGTCAAAGACAACATCCCATCGTCGATGCTGCCTGCCGCATGCTGCATGCTTCATGACGTCTGCTGCCTGCTGCCTGCTCGTGATGCATCGAGGATGAGGATGAAGATGAAGTCGCGCCATCGCAAATGAGGTTTGACTGGTTTCGCCGTGACATGAACCAAATGCCCAAAAGGAGTCTTTGCCAGCCATCCATTCAGTCAGAGTCATCCAAATACAGTGAGCACTGCCTGTAAAGGAGGGTTAGAAAAGATGAGAGAGAGAGAGAGAGATCTTTGAAGCTTAAGAAACCCAAATCCCAAAAATAAATAAATAGGCTGCCCGTTAAAACCATACTTTGATGGGTATAGAAAGTACCATACACGATCGACACTATGTTTTGAGCGAATTCGAAACCCAAAAAATTCCATGAAAAGTGACTGTAGGGAGATAAATTTTGAGAGAACTTCTTAAACTTTAAGAAGAGGAGGAGAAGACACAAAAAAACCAAAATCGAAATGAGATTAAATTAAAATGAATTAAGATTTCCATTTGTGGGAATGCCACGATTCGCACTGTACCTCCATGACCTGTCCGTCTGTGTGTCTGTCTGTCTGTCTTTTCCCTCCACTTCGTTGCACTCTGTTGCCTCTGTTGCCTCTGGTCTGTTCTGTTTTCTAGACTGGTAATTCTAGTCGCCTTGGTAACTTCTCTCTCTGGCTGTTGGCTTCTGGCTGCTGCCGTTGGCGGATGTGCAAATATTTTGATTAAATTTTCTCCTTCCCATTCTCCATGGCAACTTTCTTTCCACGAACCAAAATGCAGCCATCGTGTGTAGTGGCATCATCATCATCATCAGCAGCAGCAATAGCAGTGGCAGTGGCAGCGGCAGTGGCATCTATCTCTCAGTTCTTGCGGTGCTTCTTGGAGGAGTCTCTCGTTTCGTTCCCAGGTGGCACATTTAGTGGAGCACAACGGTCGGTGGCAGCTTTTGAAAGACGTTCTTCCGTGACTGGTTGGATTGACCCGTGGCTAAGACTTTATTTCGCCTAAAATGATTCCCAAAAGTTCAGAGCAGAAGAACTTCATTAGAGCACAGAACTCATTAGCGGCTGAAACTTTTCCATTTGCCGGAAAATGAATATTAAACGGGCCCCCTCCTCGCTTCACTCCTCTCCTTTCTGGTTCTGCCTGTGCCTTCGTTTTAATAACTGTGGATTAAGTCTGCATAAATAATAATGATTATAAACTGTGCGAAAATGCACTCCCCCCATCCAGTCCTCCCCTCTTCTTCCCTTCCGAAAAGTTTCTGCATAAGAAAATGACAAATGATCGCCAAGGAAAAGTATTCCGAAAGTGGCTGCCAGGATGGAGGAATGACGGGAGGGAAGGAAGACCGCGACAATAAAGTTTTCCCTCCTTTCTTTTCGGTGGAAATGCGAAAAATTCCAGCACTTTGTTGTGCGTAATTTGAGGTGGCTTTTCACTGCTTTTCCTTTGAGTTTTCCCCTGAGGTAGGTAGGGATGGATGGGGCCTTTACACTTCTTTCGTCAAGTGTGGGTCGAATTATCTTGGCAATTATTTCTCTAAAAGCTCCTCTGATTAATGTAGCACCCCAGACCCACAGCCAGAGATAACCACGAACTGAAGGTAATTTCCGAGAAGGAAGTCTCCGGCTCATTCGTACTGGTATTCAATTTAATTGTATCTTATCTTAGAGCCAGAAGCAGAGGACGCGCAATTTGCTCGACTGTTCGCTTATCAGTCAATTAGCCAGGCGATAAGACGCTACACGGCTCACAAAACCCATGCGAATGAGCAGGTAATGAAGAAAGACAGAGAGAGAGAGAGAAAGAATGGCAGGTAAAATGTAAACTCAAGACAAGTAGCCCCTCGGGCGGGGCAGCCTGTCATCGTAACAATGGCAACCACTTATCAGCCACTTACTCTGTTTCTGTTTCTCCTGCATCCTCCATCTATGTATAATTTCGTTTTCAGGTTGTTGTTCGTTTTTATCGCTGGAAAAACACACACAAATTTCCATCTGTGCATTATATGTTCAGAGTTCGGAATGTTTTTGGGGGAGGGCAGCCGCAAAACTAAACCGCAACTCATTAAGCGAGACACTCAAAAATGTAAAATACCAATTTGGAAACATTTCCAGACAGGGGTTGCCAATCAGTGATAATAGCAGCAGGAAAAACCCAAAACTCAACATAAATATGCTGCAAATGGAAATGGAAATCGCTAGAAGTTTTTTGGGAATGTCACTCACAAAAAACTATCTTTTAATTGGATGTTCAAAGTGGTTTTGAAGTGAAGATAAATTTCATTTGGGACTAATCAAAGTTTGGTAACTACACAGGAGCGCAGTTATCTTTCCCTGTAGGAATGGTTTGGTAAAGAGTCTTCCTCTAGGCGCATAGTTTTTCCAATAATTCCCAGTTTTATTCCCCACAAAACACCCTTATCGCCCTGCCGCAGCTTTGTCCAATGGGGGGAAATCCTAATAAACGCCCAACATTAAATGCCAATTTCGAGTTAAACATATCCAGCAACCGATGCGATGGCCATTAAATATTATGATATCTATGGCCACATGCCACCCGCCTCCCGCATCCCCACCATCCCACACCCATTAAAGCAAACGCATAAAAACCAAACATTGCGCATACGCTGTGTGCACCGCAATCAAACCAATGCCGCACAATACGACAGAAGCGCATTTTAATAAATACACAAATTTAAATGCTGCACACAAAAGAGGAAGGAGACAGAGACCCCTTTTAGGGGTAGTATTTTGTATGGAGCGAGGAGGGGAACAGCAAAACTCCATAAATGACATTTATGACATTGCAATCAGTCAATTATTGATATAAGTATTTTTATGTACTCTTGCAGATATTACGTACTGAGTATATACAGCTGTATTCATGGAAGTATTACTGCCGCACCGTGTCACATTCAAAACTATTTTTGCGACACTTCCAGTCTTTTAAATTGAACAAGTGATACCTTTTTGGATAGACAGGAACGTAAACAATAGAAAACAGAATAGGGTCAAAAACACTACTACCATTTCCATAAACACAGCTGTACAAACACATATATTCTTGATTAGCAAAGAGTTGATAGATTAGCACAAGAGAAGGTACAGAGGGAGAGAGAGAAATACCGAAAAACAAACATTAACGTAAAGAGTAATATTCTTGGTCGTATTCTGCCAGTTCTATGCAGCGTATCCATATTGTGTATTTTTTTGTAGGTTTTCATTCGTTGTCTCTCAATTGATAAACAATTGTGATGCCCTGTGTGTGTGTTTGTGTGTGTGTGTGTGTGTTTGTTGAATGGGTGAGAGGTGTGCTCTTTGATTAGCTTTCATCCGATCTATAAATATCCATAAAAATAAGTTATAAAAAAGCCCATGAAAATCATCGGCAGAAATCCGCCAATTATCGTCGTGGCAATGGTTGTATGGCTCCATGGCTGTTGTCAGTGCGGTCCGTAAACCGTAATTGAGATTGTCAACATTTGGTGGGGGGTAACACCACACTCTCTCTCTCTATTTCTCTAACGCTCTCACGGCACACCTCTCTGTCGCCCATAATTGCTCTATTTTGCCAGGGCAAACTTTAGTTGTGTGAGTTGCTGTTTTTACAGCTGAGTGAGGACATGACATGTGTGTGGCAGGGGGACGGGCGATGTTTTCAGGGGTTCCCCTCTTTTTCCTTTGTCTTTTGTATTCAGTTTATAAGCGCATGCAGCGGAAATAGCCCCAACATAGCTGGCCGGGACGGGGCAGCGGAGCATGGGGGCATAGCACTTGAACCCAACGAGCCATAACAAAAGGCACACGAAGTAATTAACTTGTATTTATTGTATTCACATAGTTGGCCCCCAAAGGGGCGGGGCGAGAGCAGGAGTTGGCTTGCAGCAGGGAGAGGAGTTGCCTCCAAGGGTGGAGAGTAGAGCTCTGTTCGGGCCATCATCAGAGTGGCAAGAAGAGATTCCCCAAAGTGGAGAGTGGACAGCAGATGGAACTTTGGCCATAGACAATCCCCAGGCGGGGGATTGCTTGTCTTCCTGCCCCGGTTGCCCCATCTAATTGATAAGCCCAGAGTCGAATTGGCCCTGGGGCAAGCGGCGTGCCACCAGCGGCCTGCATGTGCACCCAATTACGAGTGCGAGTGCGGAGTACTCCTCACAGAAGGGCCCTCTAGTCCGGCGATCAGGGTTCCAGCCATGTTTATTAGTTTTAATTTTCCCCTGCATACACATTTTCCTCTAATAGACTCGAGAGAATCTGCTCTGAGCACTGAGCACTCGAATTAATGCAAATTGAGTTGGCTTTAAGCGAATTCCTGCCCCAGAGGAAGGCAGAAGAAGCGTGCTGAAGCGAGGGGGGAGTCAAAGTGAATTTTAAGGAATCTTTTGATAGAAAGCACATTTTTTTTCCAGACAGATTCTTTGATTTATGATGGGAGATTGTTGGGTTTAAAAATTGCATTAAATGAAATGTAATCTCTGCGGGAAATGCTGGACTTTTCCCAGGATTATGGCTGACGCAGAACCACAGAAGGAACCGAAACGAACCCAACTCTGGGCGGTGGACAGTCCAGTCCGCTAATTGGATTAGCATCGAAGGGTATTCAACTGCGGTTAGCCCTCTGCTCTGTGCTGTGAGGGGGAGAAGGGGAAACCGCACAATTTCTTGTTTCTGCCCCCCCCATCATATGCCCCCCATCTGCTCGACACGCAACTCCACTTCTGCCTTGGGATCATGGTATGGTTTATGGCCTGGCCTCTGGGCCGACGCCGAACGCTGCTCTATGCTCTCTGTTCGCTCTTCTCTGTTCCACTTGGGGGCCAGAGCCAGGGCCAGAGCCAGAGCCAGAGCCAAGTGGCGTGTCCATGTCATTTACCTGGCAGCCACTCAAGTGGTTACCGTGGAGAGGGGAGGAGGCATATCGAGGCACTGGAGAGTACAAAGTTCTGATGCGGTTTTTGCTGCAATTATATAATATTGACATTAGTTGCATGTTGCCTGTCGCTTTATGTTTGTGCCGTTGTCTTTGCCTTTGCCGGAGATTGGAGGATGGGAAGGGGTGCAAAGCTTAATTGCAGATGATGCTGCCACAACAAGGGCATGAGGCAGGTGGCATGTGGCAACAGCAGAGATCTAAAATCAATATTATTCTTAATGGCTCAATTATTTGATTTGCGTTTCAATTTAATGGCTTAATGCCTTAAATTAATTGCATTCGGCCTTCTGTTCTTCTGTTCTTTGCTGAAGGGCTGCGAAACACAAAGATTGAAACTCATTTCCCCTCTTTCTGCCTCTCTCTTCCACAGCTAAGGACCTCCCGGAGTGCAACGTCTGCCTCTGCTATCCGCAGTTCTTCCCACAATTTGAAGATTGTCCACACATATCCACAGAAATCAGACTGAGTCGAGAGCAGACTGCAAGCAAATCTATATTTTGATATCTTCCAGAAGAGGAGAAAGAGGAGACCACATATCAGAGACAAGGAGAGAATCGGAGAAGCCAAGACATATCCTCAAAACATCAAACATCATAAATCATTGCCGGGCATTGATTAATGTTGCGTATACGCCATGTGCGCCCATGCCACAGACCAGAAAAAGAGGCCTCGTAACTAAGTGAAAGCCGCACAAAGCAACGCGAAAACAGAGACCTCCACTGGGGGAGAGAGATTTAGTGTATCCGTTAGCACCTTTTTTGGCCAAAAGCCACCACAGCAGCGGGAGCTACACAGCTACAGCAACTACAGCAACAAACAACACACACAAAAAAACCAAAGATGGCCTTCATCTGGCGTCGTCGCTCCACGACAATCGTGAAGCTGGTGGCCTTCCTTCTGGCCATCTGGTTCTGCATCGCCTTCCTCGTCTACACGGACGACACACGGCGTCGCGCCGCCCAGGAAGGTGCCTCAGGCAGTGCCGCAGGCGGCGGATCCGCTCCTCTCGGGGATCCCATTGCCTTGCCCCTGAGGAACGGAGACCTTGCCGATCCCCTCAACGAGGACATCGGCCTCAATGGCAATGTCATCAATGCAGGAGGAGGTGGGCTGCGCAACGAACTGGAGGAGGCGGACATTCCGCCCACCGCCGCCAAGCCCAAGGCAAACGAGTCCGCACGCCAGTCCTCGGAGAAGAAGCCCAGAAAAAAGGCGGCTCCGGCTCCCATTCCACTTAAACCAAAGGCACAAGACGGTGAGCTCTTTTGTTTTATAATTAAACTGATTTTAGTCTTAGAGAAGAGTATTCCTTGAGCTGAAAAGCGGAAAATCCGTTGGCCAATCTCCATAAAAGGGTCACAACATTAGAACTAATTAGAAGTCCCTGCCAGCCAGCCAGCCAGCCAATCCCTTTTCCAACGAAAATCTTTGCAGACTAAAACTAATCAATTCAATTTTCTTTTCTTAGCAAATTAGTTCTCTCTGGGAAAAGTTTTCCTTGCCGTTGCTTTGCTAGCAGTTTTCCCAAGATTACTTTCTCATTTTCCCAGCGATTTAACATCCTTTTCCCTGCTCTTTGGAGCATTCGCTCCCTATCGTATTCCTTTTTTTTTTTTGCTGTGCGCCGAACAATAAGCATTTATATTGAAATCAGTTGCACATTTATTTCCATTCCGAAATCCGCACAAATGGAAGCACCGCATCGCACCGCGCAGCCCCCTTGGTTCTGGCTCGTTTTATCGATGCTGGGAAATCTCTTTCATGCTTTTCCCTGGACGCTTTGCACTTCATTTCCACGCAATCGCTTGCAACTAATTCCCATCAATTCAATGCACATGCCCCCGTTGCACCCATTGCACACACATCCTTCTTGGGAGATTGCATTTTGGGTCACCAGCAGCAGCGGCAGCACCAGCAGCTGCCCGAAGAACCCGAAACCGAACCCGAACCCGATCCCATCCGAATGGGGGAATAATAACACATATGGGGAGGGGGGTTCTTTGGGAACCACTCTGCCAGAAAAACTTGCTGCTGCTGCTGCTGCTGCTGTCACACTTCCTCGTTTTTCTCTGGTGGCCACCGCCTTTGTGCCTTTAAGAAAATTTCTAACAAGTTTTACAACAATGTCGAAGATGCCAGCGGCAAATACTAACAACCCGAACAACTCGAACGCTGCCAACAACTGCAACAACACGAGCACTTAACAACTTGGAATTGCTGCCAAACAACATTTTCAATGTCAGGCGAATGCTCAGCGGATGTAGGGCAGGGGGGCAGGGAAGTATACTGAGGGGATAGAAAGATATAGACAGACAGACAGGCATTCGCATTAAACTTTCTGAGGGGAAACACAACTAATGAGGCTGTAGGTAACGACTAAGGGACACCCTCTTTGCCTTCTTTGCTCTGTGTGCAATGCTTATCCAATTGTAGTTAATCTTGGCATATCTACATGTGCAGATAATATAAACCAACTAATATCTAAATCTGTAATCAAGTGAAAACTCAATCGAATACCTTTTGATGGAAAGAAACTTGATATTCGTGAGATTTACCTTGCAACGTTTGGTATACATATACCCTTTTAATCTACGCTCAAAGGGTATGATAATGTTACTTACTAATCAAGTCAAGAAAGGCTTAGGGAAGGAGGAGCAAGTGAAGGAGGTGGCAGATGTGGCAGATGTGGCAGAGACAGATACAGAGCCAGAGACCGACACTAGTTCCTGGCCATGGGATAGATTTTTCCTCAATGGACACTTGACTGGACTGGACTCTGCTCTGCTCTGCCCCGCTCTCTGCCCAGGCAAATCAATGAAGCCAGTCTGGGGCCCAACCAGGCATGACTCCAGAGGGGGCAGTGGCAGAGCGAGGAGGAGGAATAGATAGACCTCGCTTTTAGCTTCCTGTATGTGTGTGCACGCCCTCCTTCATTCTCCATCTATTGGCTGTGGCTCTCGCATGTGGAACAAGCATTTAAGATTGCATCAGCATGTGGTCGACTGACCATCAGTCGTCAGTCCATGGAAGGGAGGAGTCAGGAGGATACAGGGGATATGGCAGAAGGAGGATAGCGAAAGATCTACATCCAAGTTTCCGTCTTCGTCTCTGTCTCGGACAATGCACGTATTTGCAATTTCGCATATCATGTTTGCATCTCTCCCTCTTTGGGCCCCATCATCCATGCCCCATCTTCAGCCTAGGTTCTCCTTGTGCAAGTCCCTCTCCTCCCTCCTCCCTCCGCCCATGCCCATCATCATAATCATCGTTGAGGTGGCAAAGCTACAAGTTGGATCCTTTTCTTTTGGGCCTCTTCTCGAGCAGCAGCTGCCCCATGGCGTCAAAATTGTGTGCAAGCCTACAAACGTTTACCAACACTCGCCAGGGAGGACCCATGGATCGAACTTCAACAGTGGTTCGAGGGATACAAAACAATGGAATGAGAGTCTAGGACTAATCATACTTTTACTTGAGCTTTAGGGAATATTTTCTGATCAGGAATGGTTCAAGAGACCTCTCAGGTTTGAGGAATTTTGCATTTGATGGTTACCTTTGGGTAACCTTTGTTCTGCAAACTACTTTTTCTAGACAAACGTTTTTTTTTCATGTCTATATTTTATAGCACATTCAATGCCCAGACTATAACTTTTAACAATACTCACGTTTTATAGTTTTCTCGATGGGGTGCCAGGGCGACCACTGTGGCTGCATCTCCACCATAACCCTAGCCCTAGCCCTAGCCTTCGATCTCCTGCATACTTCATGTGTGCCTTTGCCTGTGCCTCTGACTGTGTGCCATGTGGGTCCACGTTGTTCATAGCTGGTAATTAGTGTTGTTGTACTTATTGGCTTTGGCCTTGGGGGCGCGTTACCACCACCAAAAGATGCAACAACGAGACGCGCGAGAGCGTCGTGGTACCAACACGACGTTTATCGCGCGTTCGCATCGGGTTCCTTAGAGTCCACTCTTCTCCTCGACTTCTCCTCCCATTCCATCCCACCAGCAAACCTGCCTTCAGGCCATGTTATCTTGATCGTTGGCCCTACTGCCTGGTATACCTTTATGGTCCCTGCCCCCGTCACTACTACCCCTCTCTACACCCCTTTGTGGAGGGTTCTGCTATATGCATAATTTTTTTTTTACAATTTAGCAGCGATAATGATTTTATATATTCAAGGCAACATCATAGACACGCCCACTGAAGGCCCACTTTTTCCTGTAGTAGTTGCATGCTACAAGCGGCACAAAAGCAGATTGATTTGCCCGTCTCTTCCTCCGCCTCCTCCTCCTCCTGATTTATCCTTTCCTCTCGTTTCGTTTCCTTTGGGTCTTCCTGTTTTTAATCAATGCTAATCCCAGGGAATGCCTGATTTCTGTTTTGCTCGCATGTCTATTCTCATTTCCACTGCCACCGTCACAGAGGGGAATCACACGTGACTCGCCCTAACCTCATTCGTTGTGCGAAATAACGGTACTTTGGCATATTATGTTACAGTTATGCGGCAAACATGATGAAACATGAACGACGACCAAATGAGAGGTAGAGAGGGAGACGCATTTGTCATGTGGCAGCCAGCCACACCCCCACCCCAACTATGTATATCCACATCCTGATGGCACCTTCCACCTGCTGCTTCTCCTCCTGCTGCTGCTGCTCCTCTCTCTCTCTTTGTCAATAGCCAAACATTTATAGCTTCCTGTCACGCTCAGGCGTGTCCCTTGAGCGCTTCTCTGCGCTGCGATTGTCTTTCCTTGTTTTCTCTCCCTCTCTCCCCCATCCACCATTGTCAGCGCATGGCGAGGAACATAACGCATACGCAGCGTTGTTGTATGTCCCGTTCCACACACACACTTGACGTGAAAATGTCAACTACGATTTTCTCATTGGAAAAGTGCACGGTTGATCAAAATGCAGAGCAAAGCAGGGTAGTATTTTCTGGTTTATCTGGTAAAAATGTGAAGAATATAGAAATATCTCCAGTGATAGATTCCGTAGTTTCCGTTCTTTAGGGTATAACCTTTGGCCCCACCTCTGCCTGAGCGTGGGCGTGTCCCAAATTGGTTTACTCCTGCAGGGAGTCCTCGAATAAGAATAGGAACCCACCCGCTGGTTCATGGCATTTCATTAATGTCTCAAGGGGCCATAAATATGCAACAGTGAATCAATAAAAGACATAAAATCCAGTTACGGGGCACAGTCCTCGCCACAGACCATACTTTTTTTTTATTGTTTTTTATGATGATGATAATGCGTGTGCGAGCCGAGCCGAGCCGCCCAGCATGCAAAACAAAAAAAAGTTCATTATAAAGACTGAGAGGGAGGGAGGGAGGGAGACAGAGAACTAAGGATGCTTGGAATCCTGTGGCGGAGCCGTGAATATTCCGCAATGAAGTTATTACTACGGCAACGGGCGACAAATCATAAAATTTATGAGTGAAAACCCCCTTCTCCTCTTTGGGAGCCCTGAAAGTAGCCGCCGTCGCCTATGGCCGATTTAATGGTTTTTCTCTTATTTTCCGTTTTTGTGCGAACAAATTTATTGTCGGCTGATTGGTCTGCTCTCGCCTATCCATTCCATTCTTCCACTTCACTCCACTCCACTCTCCTCCTCTCTTCTCGGACTAGCATAATGCGGTTTATACTCCCCATGCCCGCTCTCCATACCATACAATACTCTACCATCCTTTACCATCTCTCCTATCCTGCTCATTTTCAGCATTTTATGGCTTTTTATTTTGCCAGAGCTAGCTTTTTACGCTTATTGAAATTGAAATGATTGCGGTAATTGAAATGTTCCTGCATCGCTGGTTCCCCTCCCCCAACCACAAAGCCAAGGATGGTGATTGGTGGAATTGGGGGGATGCCAGAAATATGTTCCCCGATTGGGATATAAAGAAGAGTTTTGTGGACTGAACAGAGAAAACCAGTTAGTAAAACCCAAAGTCGCCTTAATGACTGTGAATTTAGTTATGTTTTTATTGAGTTTTAATTGAACCGGTTCTGATTATGATTGACAAAGGGAATGGGGCTAGTTAAATGGAGACCCCAACAGATACAGTCAGACAACTCAGAAAACGCAAATCCCACAGACCCAAAAATAATTTATTTCTTAAAATCCAAAACTTAAGATCCCCTGAAATTAATTTGGATGAGATTTGCCCACAGTTTAATCTATAGAAAGCAAACCCAAGCTCAAGTAAATGTAATTCCCAGATGGAAATCCAGTTTAATTAAATTTGGAAGCCCTTTAAGCAGGGTCTGTCCTCCGCACCTGAAATTTCCATTAGCAGAGAACCAAACCCGAGGATGAATAGTGAAAGGCACACAGACAGGCAAGCAGGCAGTCGGGCATTCAGGCGATGGCCAATAAGTGTCACTTGTGGCTGACAAATCGCATAAAAAGCAGAAGCAGAAGCGCACGAGCAGGCAAGGCAGCAAGGAGGAAGGAGGCGACTGAGAACAGGAGAATATTTCATATTTCCATGCAAATGCAAATAACAAAATAATAAAATGCACAGCAAGGATCCACACACAGATGGGAGTAGTAGTTGGGAGGATGGCGGAGGGACACACATGAGGAAATTTGCAAGGCAAACGATTTTTCATAACCATGTGAAGGACCCCAAAGCAGAAGAAGCTCCTGATGATGGCAACTTTTCATGGGAAATGCACTGCGATTTATCTCGACAGGAAGTGAATGTTTGTCCCTCTGTGTGGCTGTGTGGGTGTGTGGTTGTATGGCTGTGTGGGTGTGTATCTTTGTGAGTTTATTTTGTCATAAATTTCACGCACAACAGGGTTCCCATGCTCATGCTCATCTCCCAAGCACCTTAACCTGCAATTTCAAGGCAAATCAAATCAGACAGTAAATGCAAACATATTTCTAACGATTCCTACACTCTCTTTCTCTTTCGTTTTATCTAGCAGATACGAAAAAGGTGATAGATCCACCTGCCAACTTCGATGAGAATCTCGGAGAGATGGGCAAACCAGTCCACCTGCCCACCGAGATGTCCGACGAGATGAAGAAGGCCGTGGACGATGGCTGGACCAACAATGCCTTCAATCAGTACGTTTCCGATCTGATATCGGTGCACCGCACACTGCCGGATCCCCGGGATGCCTGGTGCAAGGATACGGCCCATTATCTCACCAATCTGCCAGCCACAGATGTCATCATTTGCTTCCACAACGAGGCCTGGACCGTGCTGCTGCGGACAGTGCACTCGGTGCTGGATAGATCTCCGGACAACCTCATTGGCAAGATTATCCTGGTGGATGACTACAGTGATATGCGTGAGTTTTATTGCAACTTATCTTTGAACCAATTGATCTAAATCAATGGATTTATTCTCCGTTTTAGCTCATCTCAAGAAGCAACTGGAGGACTACTTTGCGGCCTATCCCAAGGTTCAGATTGTCAGGGGGAAGAAGCGCGAGGGCCTGATTCGTGCCCGCCTCCTGGGCGCCACATATGCAAAGTCGCCAGTTTTGACTTATTTGGATTCCCATTGCGAGTGCACTGAAGGTGAGCCAGCAATAAATGTGAATGCCTAAAAGTAGGCAACATAATTGTGACTAAGAAACTGTAGCATATTATTAGAGGTTCACAATATTTGTTGCTGCATTTTAATTCCATTTTAATTTGTTTCTGTGTTAAATTAACATTGAAAGCCACTTCGTATTCCACTCTATGATATTTCATAATTTAATTTTCATAAATATCCATTAAACGGAGACGTGTTTCCGTTTCCTCCCTTGTTAAATGATTGACATATCCATTTTATGCATTGATTTGCCCAAAAGAAACCTTTGTTCATTCAGCTTTTTGGACATGCACAATTCAGGCAAAAATCAATATTTAAATTTATGCGGCAGCCAAAAGCCAAAGTAAAATTAAATCAAATTTAAATGCAGAAATTTCATTCCTGCTTTACAAGCAATTTCCTATTCGAGTAGAGTATCCTCATCGGAGTCTTCGCCACCCTTGGGAGTCTCGTTTCTGGTTTATGGTCGAGAGCCTAACGGTCTGTTCGTAACATTTTTGATGGCTATCAAACCAAATCCGTTGGGCCGAAAATGATGCCAATAAAACAAGGCCCAAACTCAAGTAAATCACTTGAGCCTTTGTATTATCTTGGCTGGGACTCTTCCTCATTTCCCCACACTCGATAAGCTGAGTGACTGACAAGAGAGCGTAACAAAAGGCAATCAATTTAGTTTATTAAGAAAGTTGCAACAAAAGTCGGCAATTGGTTGTCAAAAACTATCCGAAAGCCAAGCGAAAAGAAAAGCAATTTCTCCTTTCATGAGGCGGTTGATGGATGGATGGCCGTGCCCCGAAAAAGCAATTAAACGCAGTCGTAGTAGTATTTTCACAATTTCAATTCGTTTCATCCTCTTGTTTGCAGGCTGGCTGGAACCGCTGCTGGATCGCATCGCCCGGAACTCCTCCACCGTCGTCTGTCCCGTCATCGATGTCATCAGCGATGATACCTTGGAGTACCACTATCGCGACTCCAGCGGCGTCAATGTGGGTGGCTTTGATTGGAATTTGCAGTTCAGCTGGCACGCGGTGCCCGAACGTGAGAAGAAGCGCCACAATGTGAGTAGATTGTGAATTCCTGAATATTGTTGCTCCCCACGACATCATGGAGCGGGCTTAGTATGGGGGTTCGTGCTGGGGTTAACCTAAACATACACGCCATGCGTTCTTCTGGGTTGAGTTATGTTTGTTCAACCCTATGGTTGCCATGACTATGGTGCGTATACGTATCCTGGAAACCGTTGCAAAATGGGGTTATTCCCGACGCTTCGCTTCCCACTCGGAACGCCAAAAACATGAAGCCGCTTAAAGCGCTTGAACGTGACTACAAAAACTGAATGTTTGCCGTAAAAAGGGAATGAATGCCCCTGCCCTGTCAATGCGAACACACACACTCTCGCGATACGAACACAAACACCAACACGGACACGGGTACAGATACGGAAACCAACACCATTCAACCAATCTCACGTACAGGCCACAAAAGTGTCGTTCGCGATATGAGCCATTAGAACTAAGAGTCGTTTCACCGTGCAGATGATCTAACAAAAATTCACCAAGAACTTGAGATAAATTGGCGTTGAGGAAAAGTAAAATTTGGCAGTAGTTGTTTATGGTTGTTTATCTAGGAAGAATGTCAGGGTCCGGCACTCGAGGGTTTCCCCAGAGCCAATAAAAGAGTTGAACTATTTGCCGAATAGTCAAAGGCAAAAGTTTTATTAAATATAAAAAGATAATGCTGTGGCAATAGGATCTTTAGTTTTTGTGCAGAGCGTTTCGTAGATATCTCCATCGTACCATAAATCGTGGGGTTCTATTATTAGACTGAGTCCAGATAGTGCATCAGAAGCAATAAACTCCTTCTAATTTTAGTTAGAATTTATTGATTAAGTTGTGCGCTGGGCTGTTGTTTCGCTTCTAACACGCACTGTCCCAGCGGATTTCATATCCCTTACATAGGAGGAGGAGGAGGAGTTCCATCCTTCCTGATGCCATAACTTTCCATGAAGCAAAGAAATGGCTTTTGCAGTTTATGGCCGCCTGTGCGAGCCACGTACAAACTGTTACCCACACTCCGACACGCAATTAGATACTCCCGCACACACACACACACACACACAGCACATGTGTGTGACAGGCGACAGGGGTAGGGGTTCAGACAAAGTGCTCCACAAATGGACATTCGAAACTGTCGATGGGTTTTCCAGGCGCTGACAGCTGCTGCCTGTTCGTGTTTTCCTTCGTCTGAATGGAGGAAAATCCTCCTTGACTGGACCTCAGCGAAACCATTTTGCACTTTTCACGTAGCAGCCACCCCGCTCCCCGCATCCAGCATCCGCGCTTTCAACACCTCTTTTTTCCTCGCTGAAATAAATGCGAGAACTGCAGTCAGACAGGCTCTTCTCCAGGATGCTTTTTTTCAATTTGCTTAACATTTTAATTAAAAGTTCATAATTGCAACGTTTTCTCTGCCTGCCTCGGCGATGGCGAATGGTGTGAATTGGCTCGAATGTAAGCGATATTACGCATACGCCTCATAGCTTAAAGGCCACAAATTACAAACGGAAATGGAGATCAGACGAGATGGAGAAAGGAGAAAGAGCAGCAGTGGCAGTGGCAGCAGAGGATATGGCAGAAACAACGGGCCATGACACTGCAATTAAAAGCCAAAAATGTTAAAAGCAATTTGCCACAACTGTTGGTAGTCGAATGAATACCCTTTACAGAGGACATAACGATCCAGAAAATATAGTCCTTTTCTATCTTCGTTCAGCAGTGAAGATTTCTGGCAGAACGTTCGTACAGAACCTTCTCTCCACTATGCTCCTTGATCGTTTCCTCATATCATGTGGGTGTCATTCGAAGGGTATCTACTTCTTCGACTTCCAAAAGCCAAACACTTCCTTTCTTGCTGCTGCTTCTGTTTCTGCTGTTTTCGTTGCCGTTGCCGTTGCAGTGGCAGCAACGCATTCGGCTTTTTGCGGCGTAAATATCTGGCATAATTGTTTTTACAAGCGCCAAGGGGATTTATGAGAACATTGTTGCCGAAAAATCCTTGCTGAGGACACTGGCAAATTGTTGTTGCCGTTAGCTGCTTTCTGCCTTCTGCCTTTTGCCACAGCCACTGCCTCTGCTACTTCCTGGCGACATGCGGCGTGCAATTTGGTCTCCATCCTCGCCACGCCAAGCCACCCCATGCCTGGCCCTGCCTCAAGTTGCACTTAGCAGCTAAATCAAGTAAGGCATTTCCTGCCTGCCGCCGCCACCGTCAGCCTGCCGTGCCAGCAGCACCATTGGCAATTTGCCGACTCGTAAGGGGAACCGAGGAAGGGAAAGGGAAGCCCATAAATGTTGCTCCGTGTGCCACATGTGTGCCGACAATGATAATGGCTCAGCGAAGATTTCTCTCTCTCTCTCTCGTCCTCTCCTCTCAGGGCCAGTGGAAAGTTTTTGCCTGAAATTGAAAATGCTTAAGCGAATGGGAGATGCTCTCGCACTGTCTCTGCCATCCTAAATCCTCAGCGATATCTTATAGTATCGCTTTGAAGTGCAAACCTACAGATATCCCCCGTCAGGTACATACACATGTATATGGTATATCCTTCCTCATCCTCTAGCATACTCTTGCTGCTGCGGGGCACAGCTGTTGACAGTCCCAAAGCTGCCCGAATGAAAATCCTACCAACTTTTGATGTCTGTCCAAAGTTGCTTAACTTGTTACGAGTTACCAGAGTTGAAAGAGGAGGAGCAGCAGAAGTACAAACAGCAACAGCCACATCGCATAGGGAATCAAAAAATACATATTCGTTATGGGCAATGCCATTGCCATTGCCATCGCCGTCGCCATTTCCTTTTGCCAGTCAAAAGTTTTTCCTGCAGCTTTTGTTTGTATTTCCTCGGGGGAGCCAAAAGATGCAAGGATATATTTTATGTTTTTCATGAAAAATGCTTCCTTTTCCTGCAAAGCTAATGGATTCAGCAACTGGCATTCCACTTTCCCCTGCCTGTCCGCCGCTTCATCAAATCAATCAAATCCGATTTAACAACTGGAAATCCTGAGCAGTTAATCATTTTAAACAACTTAATACAACTGCTGAAAGTTTTTGCTTCCCCCGAAGTTTGTTTTTTCCCCTGGTTTTCCTCGTGTTTGCTGCCCCTCACAGACTTTCTTCTGCCATTGGAGTTTTCTTCGCTTTCTGCTTAAAATTGTTATTTTCCAGCATTCATTTGAGAGCAGCAAAACGCCTGGCAATGGCAATGGGAATTTAAATATTTAAGAGACGAACCAAACAACATAAAAACTAATTCGCTTCGTTTGGCCGCCTCGGGCATGCTAATATTATGCCATATACATACCATATGTATGTATATGTATATACATATGTATACGGAAACTAATCCTCATAGAGGGAAAATCTCGAATAAAACTACAAACAATTTCATATCCATAGAGCGAGTCCCAAAAGGGGCCGCAGCAGCAGCAGCAGCGGAGGAGGAGCAGCAATGGAAGGGGCGCTGCTGAGGGCGCTGAAACACTAATCCAATTATTTGAGAAAAAGGAAAGCAACGGCAAAAAACGTATTCGATGGCAGCGCAGAGCAGAGCAGTGCCAGCATGGCGTATGCGCAATATGCGTGCTCAACAGCTCACGGCACACAGCACTCATACGCAATGTTGGCCAAAGCGTTTAACTATACATAGAGCGACCGAATATACATAAAGAGGAGTGCCTGAAGTGCCAAATTCACCATTCACCATCCCCCATTCCCTTACCCTTACCCTTGGTCTGGATCTGGATCTGCTTCTGGTTTTGGTTCTGGGGAAAGTGGCAAATGGAAAGGAATATTGCGGACAGAGTTTACCTTTAAAAATTGTTTAGGCTGTCGTCGTTGCCGTTCCTGTCCTCTCGTCTCTGGCACACTCTCGTTTATATGCATGTGTAATGGGGCCTGTGCGGATAGGTAAATGCTTTCCTAATACCCTAAGCGAACGACGGAGCATTTGGGAGAGGCAGAAAGATAGAGAGTGAGATGGCGGTAGGGAGGGAGGTTGCACGTTTCATTTCATTTCTCTCTCGTTTCAGGTTTATTCCATTCTGATTGCCAATGCGTGCGTTCTCATGTATGATGCTGTCGAGAGTCCTTTTATGCCTTTGTCTGCTATCATTGTTCTGCTTTTCGGGTCTCTTCGTTCTCTTCCTTTTTGATCTGCCCTTGGAGAGGGTATATCCGCTAGACGGGGAACACAAGTCAATGAAGCATATCTTCTGCTCTGTGTAAAGATTCTGAAACATAACAAAATCCTATCTTCTTCAAGGGTATTCCATGCTTCGACTCCCCACTGGGGTTTTTCCACTCATTGTATTTTGTGTTGTTTTTGTGAAATCGTGCCTGACATTGTGCTAGTCCTTCAGAATGTCCCCATGTGCGTTCGGCTGTGTCTGTGCATCTGTGTGCGAGTTCTGCTACGTATGCGAAAATGTTTGACGTTTTCGCTCCAATGACAAATGTTGAGCAGTCAATTCAAGGCTTTTCATGGCCGGGCCCTCCCCTGAGCCGAGGATGTGGCCAGAGTCTGGCACTCAGCTCGCTTAAATGATGAAGCCGATTACAGATTTTCCGTCAGTCGATTGGATTTTGGCTATTCATCGAAGCAAAGGAAAAGATGAAAGCCTAAAGCCTGTTACGTATTGGACGATTGTGCCATAGAAAGAGAAATATATGGATATGCTGTGTGAATAATTAGGTAGACAGGGTGTCCGCATGGGTGGCGGCATCAAGCAATTAGTTGGAATGCTCCTGCAACACCCTCTGTTTATTCTACGACATTACACATACATTGATAGCTCTAATTTTCTGTCTGACAAAGCTTGACCTTGAGGTCAATCAATCAATCAAACAATGAATCGATTCATCATCTTCGTTTAGTTGGACAAACGATACTTGACTGCCCGCAGGATGGGATACTTCTCGGTGGTGCAGAGGCCTCGGAAGTCATCGAAGGAGAGGTCAAACAGAGCCACGCCTCCGAGGTTGTTGGTGCGCACGTAGCCGGCCTTG